ATTTATGATTATAATAGAAAGTGGAATATTTATCTTCCTTGCCACAATCCGTTTTAGTAGATCTCATACTTTTGGCTGAACATATGCAACCAGGTCTCCCATTGTATCCGGCGAATGTTTTACAAAAATATTTTCACATGAATGATTCAAAGCAAGATGAATTTCAAACAAAACCAGAATTGGCAACTCCCTCAACCGAAATGGATATTATGGAATTGTCGATACCGACCAATAATGATACTGATCGATCTTCTTCTCAATTCAAAGAAACTCCTGAAATAATGTCCCCAGTTTCTATTGATGTTAGCATGAATGCTGATGAATTTCTCATTTATTCAAATATGATAATAAGAGCCATCTCTTCAATTACTCAACCAAATGGTAATACTGCCCAAACGATTTACAATTGGATAAAAGGGTAAATAATATCAATGGTGTTGATAATTACGTTAGATCATAATATCAATCAATTATAGTAAACTTTATACCTGCTATATCACGTGACTCACATATTTTTATTATGATGATGTATCATTAGAAATTATTCTGTGCCTGTGAACTTTCAGCATACTGCTAAAAAGTATCTTTCCGACATGCTTTCAAAAGGAATTTTAGTCAAAACTTCAAAAGCACACTATAAACTAAATCCCGCTTATAATCATGCACCTGTAAAAGTAAGTTTATTTGATATCTTTATAAAGAACTTCAAATTAATGAAATTTTAATAACCTTTTTATCTTATTAAAAAAATTATTAGCTAAACTGTGATGATCTATTCAAACCTTTAAACACTAAAATTCTACAAAGTCCGAGTCATAATGGTCAATCCCCTCGAAAAAGCTTAAATAACCCAAATGATCCTGCGTTATTATTATCCAATACCTCAAATGGTCAAGTAAATCAAGAATCTTTTCAACAATCCATAAGTTTTAATTGTCAATTAGATAAAGGATTGTCTCAACAGTCCATAAATTTCATCGGGCAAGCAAATCAAATATCATTCCATCAAAAAAATTTGATTGAAAAAACAAATCAAGTATCGCCACATCAATCAAAAGATTTAGCTTTGCAATCAGCTCAAGTATCAATCCAACAATCTAAAAGTCCTTTACAACAACATATAACTCGGACATTGTCTAATTTGCCGGATCATGCTTCGTCACATTCCCCAT